TGCAGTACGCTGGACGGCGCTACTAGTTTCATTCCGGGTGGCGGCGGCAGCCCTGGCAGCAAGCTCAATCCTTATGCTTCGTCGCAAAGACATGGTCTAAAAGACTGTCAAAACTTCAGAAAAACTTGTATATTTCCAAGCATCTCGCTTACCTTTAGGTTTTGTACGCACAGATTTTTGAAATTTTCGATGTGTTTTTGTTAAGTTTTTTCTTAGCTGTTTAACACTTTGAATGTGAGTGAAAAATGATTGCATTAGCACAGCCAACTTGAACTCCGTTTTGTAAAAGGCCCATAGAAAACCGAGAAATGGACACAAACTTGGTTTCTCAGTCAGTTATTATACTTTTTTATACTTTTTATTACTTCCTTTTGTATACTACCGGTCCGCACGCTGAGTAAATCGAAGTGTCTTGATTTCACGCCTATCGATAGTTCTTAGTGATCTACTTAACCTATTGGTATCTCCACTCGATGTATCGGTGTCGTGGACGATAAGAACGCGCGCAGTTACTTATTCAAAAGATGTACTGCTTAAACAAACAACATTCTACAGTTTTATAATATAAAGTGTATCAGAAAAATTCGACCTAAAATAAATTCGTATTAAAATGTTCTATCAAATCGAGATAAGCTTTTAACTCCAGAATTAAAAACATTGCTTAAGCCAGAAAAAACGAACAGATAGAAAATGGTTTAAGGGCTTACGGTCATCAAACGGCATAAAGGGAAACAATTATTATAGATTAATGAGATTATATTGAATTTATTTGCATTTTTAATTTATTTAACTTATTTGAACGCCAGTATCTTCATGTCGCCAATACACAGACCCGACTGGGCTGTTAACAAAATGTTTTAAGTTGTTTTCCTTTTTGGACCAAGTACTGCTCCACAGGGTCGTGCCNAAAGGGTATCGTTTCATGGGTTTCCATTAATGTACACATATTTATATGAGTTATAATACTCAAATGTATAGACAAACGACCGTTCTGGTTTCTTTCCTGCAGATATTGGTTTTATCAAAGTTGTCGGCGCTTATTTCGTTGATTGTCCTCCTCCTCCGATCATGCACGTCCAGAAAAAAAAGAAAAAAAAATGTTTTTTGCACCATCTGACTGCACCATCAAGTGGCCCATGCGACACCAAGCCAAAGCCTGTTACGCGCGGAACCCAGCAGAACGCAGCCCTCCTCCCTCCCAAAAAAACAATGAATGCAAAATGGATCCATGCAGGAGATTGCTTTTAGTGGGATTGGCGGCTCTGTGATTTGTCTCGGATCCGACCGTAGCGTTGTTAACACGAGCACTCCCGCTCACTATACCTGAAGACTGCTATGATCCTACTTTCGAAGTGTCTGTAAATATTGGACCTATTGTATCGGATCGTGCGGGTAGGCTATCTGAACGCGTCCGCTGCTTTCGTAAAGCCGAGTTTACGAAGCTCAATTGCTTAATTAGGAATATTGATTGGTACGGTCTGTACTCGTGCACTGACGTCATTGAAGGCACAAACAGGACACGTGTGTTCGACTTTCATGTTCGACTAGATCTGTGAAACCTCCTTGGTTCACCAAAGAGTTATCCAGTCTAAAGAACCTAAAATCAAGACTATTTAAAAAATCTCAAGAAGTTGGGTCTCCCTCTTCTCTTTCTAATTACTTAATAGCTCGGTTAAATTGCACTGTTCTTAATGTTCAATGCTATAGGAACTACCTCCTTCGATGCAGGATACGTTTTTCACAGGACCCTAAACACTTTTACAGCTTTGTAAACAGTAAGCGTAGCATTTTTGAATATGTCGGCAAACAATGATCAGGCAATCGCCGATCTTTTTCACAATTTTTTCAAACCACCTATTCCCAGGAAAGCTACCCAGGTCATATGTATCCATATAGTTTACCAAGGTCGAATGGTATGTTTAATGTAATGTTTAATGAAGGCTCCTTACTTCATGAACTTCAATTAGTTAAGCTCGTATTTTCACCGGGCCCTGACGGAGTTCCCGGCTGTGTACTCAGGTACTGTGCCGAGTCTCTGTGCGGACCTTAAAACCCTTGCTTAAACTATTCACTCTATCCATCCATTCTTCTAGCTTTCCCCCCATCTGGAAGGAATCTTTTATAATTCCTCTCCATAAGAAAGGTAGCAAGTCTGACGCTAAAAACTATAGAGGTATATCTAAGTTATCCGCACTTGCAGCATCTCTGCAAATCACTTATATCTCCAGCTCAGCACGGATTTATACGGCGACTATCAACAACCACTATTCTTTTAGAGTTCACTTCCGTTGTCAATAAAGGATTCCAAGGTAACTTGCAGACGGATGTTATTTACACTGACTTTAGTAAGGCATTCGATTGTGTAAACCATTCTCTTATTGCACAAAAGCTCGACCTTCTAGGGTTTCCGCCCAATCTTTTGAGATGGGTTTCTAGCTACCTGTGTTCCAGGTCTCAAAGGGTTCTTTTCAAAAACTCCTTATCTTTACCTGTTATGGTTACTTCTGGAGTAGCCATTTAGGCCCCTTACTTTTCACGGGGCCTCAACTGGGATGCAACTGTGAGACTGCCATCCTACCGTAGTAGACTTCTTTTAATAAATCTTCCATCCTTAGTTAGTCGTAGAAAAATGCTTGGTGTAATTTTTATGCACAACTTGATCAAGGGGGATGTAGACAGCCCTGACTTGTTGAGCCGCGTAAACTTTACGATTCCCATTAGACCCACTAGAAACTATATTCCTTTGTTCCTTCCACTGTGCAGATCGAATTATGCCTTGCACGAACCCTTTAGGGTCTTATGCTTTGATTATAATTCCCTCTATCACATTATATCCTCGACTAACTCTCTTCCTCTTCTTAAATCTCTTATACTAGCCTACCTCTCCCGTAGTTAGTTTCATTTTAGCTTTGTCTTGTTTCTGACTTCGATAGTTTTGCTTGCTTAGCTATACTTGCTCGATATTTTCCTCGAATCCATCTATCTAACATCTATCTTTCCTGCATGCTCGCGACCGGTTCGGTTAATCGCGCCGCGCGTCATGCGGCAGCGCCCCTCGGTCGGTTGGGCGGGAGGAGGGCTGCGTGGCTTTGGCTTGGTGTCGCATGGGCCACTTGATGGTGCAGTCATTGCATATCAACGTCCAGACATTCGGAAATTGTAATTAGAATTGGATGAAATCTATTCGATTAAAAATCTACATTATTTATTCTTTGACAGCTGATTTCAATCCAATTCATTTCATTTTATGAAAACTATGTGTAAATCAAGGCAAAATTAAAATTTGTAAGGAAATAGCCTTAACATTGCAGATAAATTTCGGATATATCTCCAGTTGTTGTTACAGTATATAGGCGACAATTAAACCACTCAACACGGTTCTCAGTACCTTTTTTATACCCGGTACTCGAAGAGTAAATAAGGTACAGATTTCTTACTGGGTACCGTACCTCGTACCTTTTTAAAATTTTGGAGACCACCATTTAATCAGACAACATTGCTTTTGAAAGAGGCCACAGATTTGTAATATATTTTGTTAACCACTTTCATGTATATATGTAACAATCTTCAGAAGAGAATGCTAACGTGGAACACACGATATAGTTTTTGTTAAAGATCTTCAGGGAATTGTCATAAGAATTCTGATATTTGTATGAATATGGGTATGAATTTCTGGGTGGTGTTACTGTGCATTATGTGCATGCTTATCAAAATAGAACTTATGGCATGGCGTAGAGTGTGGTCCACTCTCTGGCGACTCGGTCGTGCTGCTCTCGGTCCCTCTTGTACATGTTGGCAACTACGATTTCCATGGGGTCGTCAGGATTGGGATCTGCTAGCAGCGACATGATCGATAGGAGAACTTTATCTGCAGTCAAGATAGGCGACCAGATGTCCGATAGTATGTTATGCCTGGACATACCATCGGAAAACTGGCCGCCACTGGTGATGTTGCAGTGGTAAATCTGAGTCGTAAATTGTACATGAGGCGGGACATGCGGGTAGTTATCCGGAAATAATACATCTAATTTAAAGTGCCCTCCCTCATAGGGAGAATTGGAAGGGCCGAGAATAATGCAGTGCCAGTGGGTTATATCGTCTTCAACGAACTCCACATGGCAACCGTCCGTTGGATTGAGCATTATTTCTTTTAGCTCACGGAGAAGACGTCCCCTGGGGCCACCGCCCCGTGGCCGTTGTACGGCGCTACTAGTAGCATTTCGGATAGCGGTGGCAGCACGCCGATTCCTTATGCGGTGGGTTGCAGTACGCTGGACGGCGCTACTAGTTTCATTCCGGGTGGCGGCGGCAGCCCTGGCAGCAAGCTCAATCCTTATGCTTCGTCGCAAAGACATGGTCTAAAAGACTGTCAAAACTTCAGAAAAACTTGTATATTTCCAAGCATCTCGCTTACCTTTAGGTTTTGTACGCACAGATTTTTGAAATTTTCGATGTGTTTTTATTAAGTTTTTTCTTAACTGTTTAACACTTTGAATGTGAGTGAAAAATGATTGCATTAGCACAGCCAACTTGAACTCCGTTTAGTAAAAGGCCCATAGAAAACCGAGAAATGGACACAAACTTGGTTTCTCAGTCAGTTATTATACTTTTTTATACTTTTTATTACTTCCTTTTGTATACTACCGGTCCGCACGCTGAGTAAATCGAAGTGTCTTGATTTCCCGACTATCGATAGTTCTTAGTGATCTACTTAACCTATTGGTATCTCCACTCGATGTATCGGTGTCGTGGACGATAAGAACGCGCGCAGTTACTTATTCAAAAGATGTACTGCTTAAAACAAACAACATTCTACAGTTTTATAATATAAAGTGTATCAGAAAAATTCGACCTAAAATAAATTCGTATTAAAATGTTCTATCAAATCGAGATAAGCTTTTAACTCCAGAATTAAAAACATTGCTTAAGCCAGAAAAAACGAACAGATAGAAAATGGTTTAAGGGCTTAAGGTCATCAAACGGCATAAAGGGAAACAATTATTATAGATTAATGAGATTATATTGAATTTATTTGCATTTTTAATTTATTTAACTTATTTGAACGCCAGTATCTTCATGTCGCCAATACACAGACCCGACTGGGCTGTTAACAAAATGTTTTAAGTTGTTTTCCTTTTTGGACCAAGTACTGCTCCACAGGGTCGTGCCAAGGGGCGATGGCGACAATCTGGGCTCGAAACTAGCCAATGTTGAATAGGAAGGGTGCTTGGAGGCGCCGTTTTACAACTTTGCAACGGGCGCAAACTAAAGAAGTCTGCAGATGTTATTCTCAGCCATATGCAAATTCTCTGTCATATTTTCAAACTGCGGAATATGCAAAGGGTATCGTTTCATGGGTTTCCATTAATGTACACATATTTATATGAGTTATAATACTCAAATGTATAGACAAACGACCGTTCTGGTTTCTTTCCTGCAGATATTGGTTTTATCAAAGTTGTCGGCGCTTATTTCGTTGATTGTCCTCCTCCTCCGATCATGCACGTCCAGAAAAAAAAGAAAAAAAAATGTTTTTTGCACCATCTGACTGCACCATCAAGTGGCCCATGCGACACCAAGCCAAAGCCTGTTACGCGCGGAACCCAGCAGAACGCAGCCCTCCTCCCTCCCAAAAAAACAATGAATGCAAAATGGATCCATGCAGGAGATTGCTTTTAGTGGGATTGGCGGCTCTGTGATTTGTCTCGGATCCGACCGTAGCGTTGTTAACACGAGCACTCCCGCTCACTATACCTGAAGACTGCTATGATCCTACTTTCGAAGTGTCTGTAAATATTGGACCTATTGTATCGGATCGTGCGGGTAGGCTATCTGAACGCGTCCGCTGCTTTCGTAAAGCCGAGTTTACGAAGCTCAATTGCTTAATTAGGAATATTGATTGGTACGCTCTGTACTCGTGCACTGACGTCATTGAAGGCACAAACAGGACACGTGTGTCCCACTTTCATGTCCGACTAGATCTGTGAAACCTCCTTCGTTCGCCAAAGAGTTATCCAGTCTAAAGAACCTAAAATCAAGACTATTTAAAAAATCTCAAGAAGTTGGTTCCCCCCCTTCTCTTTCTAATTACTTAATATCTCGGTTAAATTGCACTGTTCTTAATGTTCAATGCTATAGGAACTACCTCCTTCGATGCAGGATACGTTTTTCACAGGACCCTAAACACTTTTACAGCTTTGTAAACAGTAAGCGTAGAACGTCCGCGCATCCATCCTCGCTATCATTTTTGAATATGTCGGCAAACCATGATCAGGCAATCGCCGATCTTTTTTCACAATTTTTTCAAACCACCTATTCCCAGGAAAGCTACCCAGGTCATCATATGTATCCATATAGTTTACCAAGGTCGAATGGTATGTTTAATGTAATGTTTAATGAAGGCTCCTTACTTCATGAACTTCAATTAGTTAAGCTCGTATTTTCACCGGGCCCTGACGGAGTTCCCGGCTGTGTACTCAGGTACTGTGCCG